TTCGGCATTGCTCGGGGTTGATTATGGTTTGGAGGGACTTCCCGGTGATTTTTCCGGCGAGGATTCTGGCGGGGCTTTTCCGGCGGAACTCTGGCGAGCTGGGCGACGGGAATGGCGCGGTAGGGTGTCGACGGCGGGGCGCGGAGGTCGCGCCGATCGGTGGTGGCATGCAGTTCGGTTACGGTGGGGGGCGGTGTTACGTCGGGGGTTGAGGCGTCGCATCGGGGGCCGAGGCGGCAGTGGTGCCTCGTCTCGGTGATGGCGGGGAGCGGTGGCAACGGGTCTCCGGCGGGTACGGGACGGGCGGTCACCGGGCGGTTGGGGTGATGCGGCGGCAGAGGTTGTGGTCTTTGGGGTGGTGCCGACGGTGGTTTTTGTTGAGAGAGAGAGAGAGAGGGAGAGAGAAAATGTGGAAGGGATAAGAAGGAGAAGGGTTTTTGATTTGAGGATTTTGTGGGTTTTAGGGATTTAGAAGGGTTTAAGAATGGAGTGTTCCCTTGAGATTTCAAGAAACACCTATGGTTTAGTGGCTAAGGCTTTAGTCTTGTAAGTGAAAGGCTTAAGGTTCCATTCCCACTAGTTGCATTAGTCCTTTTAGTTCATCCATTCCATGCCTTAGGCTTCCTATCCTTCTTTTGGTCCGATGTGGCAAGTGGATTGACTGGATCCCTTTGTCGGACTTTTGCTTTCACCGTGTGTTGGGTTTGAGACTCGTGGATTATAGGAGGTGTGGATCTTAGTTCTCCACTTATCCCGAGGGGCGGTAGCCGAGAATTTTAAGCTGATCGAATTAATTGACTTTGTCTTTTATTTAAGGTTATAAGAATTTCTAAATAACCGAACTAAACAAGTAATTCTACTAAGAGGGTAGTTTATAGGGGTTCACTGTTTATCCTAAGCAGAATTCTTCTTCCTGATTTTCCTCTGATTGATTCGCGGGATCCTCGTCCCCTAGGGCCATGTTTTCTGCGTCGATGTTATCTTCGGTTTCAAGGTCGACCTGGGTGCGGCTAATGACGAATACCTTTCAGGGAGCACCGTAACTCCCTCTGTTATTCGCGCCTCCTTGTTAGCCCATAACCGTAGGGTTTGTGCTTGGGGGTCGAGTGCACTGGAAGGACTTGTGTCCTTCTCTCCCGCAGTTGAAGCACCGAAAGGGGTTCCCCAGGCAATCCTTGCCCCTATGGTCCTTGTTGCATCTTCGGCAAAGGAACGCAATCAACAACAAGACACATATGCACATATGTTGGTGCCACAGGACCATTCACATGACCCGAACCTTGAGTTCCATTGCCAAGGAGTCAGTGCATATAGCCCTGACATGGCCCTGCAACACTTTAACTTGTACCGCAGCACAAGGAGATTGATCGCAACCAATCAATGAACCGCAGCTCATTTATAAACGTTTGATCGCAACCAAACGGTGGATAGGTTGTTATCAGAGCATCCCGACTGCAGTCAGTCGGTATTCGGAACAGCCATTTAGATTGTACTTAGGGCCTTCACCTTGATCAGTAAAAGACATTAAATGTCTTTTACTGATCAAGGTGAAGGCCCTAAGTACAATCTAAATGGCTGTTCCGAATACCGACTGACTGCGGTCGAGATGCTCTAATAACAACCTATCGATCGTCCAAAAGTCCCTCACACTGTTGCAGCCGCGAGTATTTATAGCCGATGGGCCGGAGACACAAATCCGGTCGTTCGGCATGTCACCCACGTAGCAATGACATGTCTTCTCCCCGTAAGCCCTGCCTGTCAACGCCTAACGCTGCCACGTGCCTCCTCTCAACTCTCACGCCTAAGGGCTATCAATCCGGTACTGAAGACGCTGGTCGGGTGTCCTACCGGTCGGGTACGACCGGGTTCTTCTAAGAAAGTCCGACCTGTAACCTGCATAAATAAGAATAAAAGACAAAGGCATGTCGGTCGGGGTATTCCCTAACAAGATATATATATATATATATATATATATATATATATATATATATATATATATATATATACACACACACACACACTAGTAATTCACCCGCGCGATGCACGGAAAAAAATTATGTTATTATAAATATAAATAAAAATAGAAAAACTAAAATATTTTAAATTATTTAATATAATAATATTTTTGAGCTTCCATTGGTCAAGTATTTATTATTTTTATAGAATACAACATTACAATTACAATTAAAATTAAAATTTTGTATGGTTAATATAATCTCTAATTATGTGCATATTCAAATAAACTTATAGAGAGAATTTACATAATTACATTGATTTATTCTTAATTGTATTTCATCTATATTATAATTTTCATAATACGAATAATAACTAAGATAATTATATTTGGAAAGCAAATTTTAAATTTTGTATGTGTAAATTTAAACTCTAATTGAACATATTTTTTATATGATTATATAATATATAGCTATTTTATTTTTCAAAAGTATATTTTTTATATGATTATATAATATATAGCTATTTTATTTTTTAAATATTGTGCTTTTTTTTTTTTTTTTATATAATAAAGGATGTTGTGGCATTAATTGTAACATTAATTATTCCCCAAACCATATAGCTTTATTATATAAAGGATAACAGCCGATTGTTCTCAACCAATCCAACTGCTTGTATAGCTGACCGATCGCAACCGGTCGGGTTAATACCTGATGGTTCTCAACCCATCAGATAGTCATTATAGCCAATTGATCGCAACCAATTGGGGTATCATGCACAATCAACATAGAAGCCAAACAACATGCAACCCACATTAACAGATAACGAGGGGGAAACATTGGGGAACATTTATCCTAACATAACTCATAACAAACCACACTAACCCACCCACGACACTTCCTATGGGATCATACGCCTTCCTCCTAGGCCAATGGGATACCAATTCAACTAGCATGTAATACACAAGACTCTTTTATCCTAAGAACGGTACCCGATACACCAAACTAGACTCACATACGAAAAACGGGGTACAATGGGACATGGGGAAACATCAAATGGGGAAAAACATCACGACCTGCACCAATATTCCAGCAGGTGCCCGGCGGGTGGAAGACCACCCGGTCGGCGGCGGACTACAAACCAGCGGGTGCCCGGCGGGCAGTCGCTTGCCCGCTGGGAATTGGGCACGGGGCAGCGGGTAGGTAGCGGGCACCCCTGCCCCCACTGACTCCTTTGTAATATTTTGTTCCTGGGATCCTTCGTGGAACCCGAAATCATGTCCATACACATTCAAACACAAGCGACGACACCACGTATTCAAGTAACGGATTTAAACCAAGAACCACACCAACTACATCCTAACATGACTCCTAAACATGCTAAGACTCAACACCCGAACATGCAAAATCCCACCCAAACCTATCGAAACCACATAATACGAAATCCACGTTTATTACCCTAGGGCTCTAGACATAATCGAAACACAAGATCGTTTATATAATTTATCATAGTATCAAGAACATCAAGATTATCACATAAACATCAATATTAACACATAAACATCAAGATTATCTTATAAACACAATATAAATCCTAGGCAAAGCTCTATCAAGACTCAAGCACAAAATCATATATCAAAGGAGCCAATGAATAAGATATAGCGAGGAAAATAGGTTTTGTTAGACATGGATTACCTCTTAGCCTTAATCAATATCCTTGGCTACTAAGGTTCTTTCTCTAAGATCTTCTCCCCGTGGTTCTCCTACGTTTGGTGATAGGGAAAATCCTGAGAGTATCTTGTGTGGTATAATCAATTGTGGTGGGATTTCTAAGTGCTTCCTGAGTCCTTATATATATTTAGGTATCCTAACTAGGGTCTGAATAGTAGAGATTCACTTATCCTATTCCCTATAGGACTAAGGGTTTGGTTTAAGGATAAGGGTCCATGATCCATGGTGGGCCACCTCAATTAATTAAGGGGATCCTGGCCCAATCAAATTCTTTCTAATTATTATTAATGGTAATAAATTAAATAATTAGTCCGGGTTAGAGGCCGTAACACGGGGTGTTACACCAACGGATATATTTGATTATCTATAAAAGGCCATGAAGACTTGAAGAAGAAAAAAACACACAAGACACACAACACGGATGAACAAATGCGAATTCTAGAAATACCAGTGCTCAAATATTCTTTGAAATATCTAGAAAAGAGACTTAGTCGGAAGAGTCTCAAAATTAGTTGGAGAGAGATACAATTACCTTTGTATTTGTAATTGTAAAAAGAGAATAGTTGTGTGCAAGACTCTAGTAAGTGTAGCTGTGTGCAAAACACTCGTAGTTGCTAAGTGTAGCTGTGGGCAAAACACTTATTAGTTGGCGTTGAGTATAACTGTGTGCGAAATACTCGTAGTTGAGTAAAGTTTTGTGCGAGACACTCGGAGTTGGGTGTAGCCGTGTGCAAGACATCCGGAAGAAGTGCTTGTGTAGCGCTTATTCACTATTGTAACTGTGTGTGGAAAATAGTGAATTACTCCTAGAAGTGAATGGAATAAAGTGGACTAGGAAGATTACGCCACTTCCGAACCACTATAAATTGCCTCTCTCATTTACATACCGCACTTACTTAACTCGCTTTACTTATCTATTATTTAACTAACCTGTTTACTATTCACTGTCTATGTTAATCTTTCGGGTTTAGTGTGTTTTCACGTATGCATGCAACTCAAACTTATCATGCTTAACATTTGAATTATTCTAAGCAAGTTTGATGTGTTGCATGTGACATTCATCATACGGTTGACGTGACACAAAATCTTATTTATAATCTTGAATATTATTGTTAAATATTGAGTGCACCATCTCCTTTAAATATTCAAGATATTTTTATCATCCTTACACATCATCTGAACTTATTTAACGTGTGCATGCAGGGACGGAGCCAGGATTATAGGATGCGGGGGGCCAATAACGATTTAAGAGTGAACAACTAAATACATTAATAATCATTTAATATACTCAAAATAGATCATTACATTACAAATATACTAAAATTTAGAACGTCTCTCTTGCATATCACGGAAATCATCTATAATTGAATCTATACTAAATTGTTTTGCAATTTGCTTTTCAATGTACACTAACAAACAATCATTGAAAAATTGATCATCCATCTTGTTACGAAGTGTAGTCTTGACTATTTTCATGGCAGAAAAAGATCGTTCTGTAGTAGCTGTAGATACGGGAAGCGTGAGAATGAGAGTTACTATTCTGAACACAAGAGGATATATGTCCAATTTTCTAGTTTTCACCATCCATTGACAGAGATCAGAAATACTTTCTAGTTCTTTAAAATCAGGAAGTTGTTGCACATGTTCAAAATGTTCAAGTTGCATTCTTAATTGCAAAATCTCATAATCTGCAAAGTCTTGTGGGTAAAACTTCTCTACCAACTTGCAAATGTCATCAATTCTGAATGATATACGCATTTCTTTTGGATCTAGGGATGAACTCAGAACAATTAACTCCATTGCTTTATCATCAAACCTATTGTTCAACTCTTGCAACTGAGAATCAATCACCGCATTAAAAATATCAACTTTGTAATGATGTCCAACTGTTAATTCATCTTGTTGATTCCTAGCCCTTCCTCTTCTTGCAATATATTGAGCATCAAAATCTGGCACACTTATATTGACATTTTCACAAAAAGACTTCACACTTGAAACTAATTCATCCCATCCACTATCTCTTAATTTTTGAATAAGCAATTTAGTAGATGTCACAAGATGCATTGCATTCAATATATCTTGAGATTGGAGTTGCAAAGCTTGGCAAAGCATATTAGAAATCTCTAGAACTTTTCTCATGAGGTGCATAATGAATACAAATTCAAAAGAAGTCATTACCTCATAAGCTGCATCGGCATCTCCACGGTGAGTAGGTGTAGTTCCATCTTCAATAATATTAAGTAAAACTTCACATGTTGCACTAAACATTCTCATCAAACTTGATATGGATTTCAAATGAGAGCTCCAACGAGTATCACCGGGCCTTTGTAAAGAACCAATTTGGTTAAGACCCCTCCCACTTTTAAGCTCATCGATACTAAGCAAATGAGCAATATTTGAGGCATGAGCAGCTTTCAACTGGTCATTGCGCTTACATGAAGCCCCAACAACATTAATAATGGAGTTCAACTTAGTGAAAAAGTGATGGACAGGGATGACTTTTTTTGATGAAGCTACTAATGCCAATTGCAATCGATGTGCAAAACAATGAACATAATAAGCATAAGGACATTTATCCAAGATTAAAGCTTTCAATCCATTCCACTCTCCACGCATGTTACTTGCACCATCATAACCTTGTCCTCGAATATTTTGAACATCAAGATTATGACGAGATAAGATAGAAAAGATACCTTCTTTCAATGTTGATGCAATAGTGTCCTTAACATGAACAACACCAAAGAATCGCTCTTGTATAAAGCCATCTCTATCAACAAATCTCAAGACAATTGACATTTGTTCCTTCTTTGATTCATCTCGAGCTTCATCAACAATGATACAAAATTTTGCATCACCAATTTCTTCTCGGATAGCACTTTTTACTTTAGTTGCCAACACTTGCAGAATTTGTTTTTGTATTGTTGGTGATGTGTATGTTGCATTTCGTGGAGCTTTATCAAGAACTTTTGTTACTTCATCATTAAAAGAAGCAATGAAACTCAATAACTCTAAAAAGTTTCCACGATTTGTTGATGTTATTGACTCATCATCACCTCTAAAAGAACATCCTTGAAATGCAAGCCATCTCGTTGCCTCAATTGAAGTTCTCAAGCGAAGTCTATTTTCAACTACTTCTTGAGATGTGAATTTCTCAATATGTTGTGCAATGTGTGATTGTTGGTTCATGAGATATGAGCAAGCTTTCTCGGCATTTCGATGAGGGGAGGTGAGATCTTTTCCAATAGGTGCTAAAAATGAGCAATTTTTTCCATCTCTAACTTTCTTCCATGAACAAAAACCATTGGTAGTAAAAGCATGCAATCCGGAAGGCCCATCTTGAGTATGAAATAAATAACATGGTAGACAAAATGCTGCATCTTTACTAGGAGAATATTCTAACCAAGAAGGGAATAATTTAAACCAAGATGCTTGAAAACTACGAGGATGCTTTTCTCCAGATTTTGGATACTTTGAAAGCAAACATTGATATGGGCCGGCCTTGATATAGGCTCTCCTAACTTCATCACGTTTGTCAACGGGGCACATCCATATTGGTAGTCGCAATCCCGGATCACGTTCTAATGCTTGAATGTCAAACTTCTCATTTATTTCAATTCTTTGAGATTTTCCAGGACGACTTTCAGAATTTAATTGATCAACACTTGTAGATGGATTTACTTGCGATGATGAATCTTCAGAATTCTTTCTTTTAAAAAAAGTATCAATTTTTTGTGTCTTCTTCATTGTAGCTCAATCTTCCTATGTTCACAATTAATCACAATATTAATATTTTGGTAAGTCAATTAAATATTTAAACTAACCAAGTCAATTAAACATTTAAACATATAAGTAATGACATAAAACAAATGAGGACAAAGCACTTTAAGACTAGTAGGATACAAATATACAATATTTAAATTCATTTTTGTTTTAAATTCATTAGTATAGTATTATTCATTCAATTCATTTATTTAAATTATGTCTTCCACAACATTAGTTTCTATTTCTTTCTTCTCACTTCTGTTTTACATTTCGGTTTTTTTTTTTTTTTTTGCCAACCAAATTAAATTCATTTTTATTGTTTGAAATTATTCTATTGTATAAGTATATAGACTATGGCATTGAGATATTTAATCTGAATTCTCTATGTGCTTCTCCTACTCTACTAGTTTGATGTTAGCCATTAATGGAAGAAAACTAATATAAAAGCATAAACTTAAAGAAAAGAAACTTTGAACATTGGAGTTAATAATAAATGTACTCTTCCACAAAATATATAATAATACAAATTTACAAAGTAATTATTTAAAGCTTTAAAACAAATGAAAAAAAAAAAATTTACCATATTCATTGTTGAAGAGAAGAAGAATAGTAGATTGAAGAAGTCAAGAAGATGAAACCGGAGAGGAAGACAACATTTGTTGGGTACTTGGGATTTCAAAAGAAAAAAAATATTAGTTTTGTGAGGCTCAATGGTACTACACTACTACTAGGCTATTACTACTCTACTAGGCTAGGAGGGGCAAATATTTTGGAGGGAGGGGCCAAATATATATATATATATATATATATATATTTATATATTATAATACTAAATACTAAATTTTTTTTTTGGGAGGGGGGGGGGGGGGGGGGGGGGGGGGCGGCGGCCAAGGCCCCCTGCACACCATATATAGTTCCGTCACTGTGTGCATGTGATTCAATTTATTACTTGGGCATAACTCTTTACACATATTTATTCCGCTGTGCACTTCAAATTAAATACTTCTCTATTTACTTGTTATTTAGAATTGAAATTATCAAAGAGTTATTCATTCAACTTGACATACTACTATTTGTTTATCCAAATCTAACTCACTACATATTATAACTATTCTCCCATACACCTAATACATGGTTCAAAATTGAACATTTTCCCATGCATCTTTGTTTCATTATTAGTGTGCAATTCATTTAATATATCACCACTATAACGTACCTCTTGGGGCTATCTAATAAAACTAGGTATACATGTTAATTATAAATCACAGATTAATAGAATAGAATTTTCAATAAAAGGGTGTTTATTTTAGTGGATATTTTAAGGTAATGTCACATTTTCGAGAATCTCAATAGTTATAGATTATAGCCAGTTTTGCTAACTATATATTTTGACTAATTAGTAGTATTAACCGGTTATAAAAATGTGTTTAATAAATTACTCTCTCTGTCCCATTTTATCTGTCCCACTTACTATTAATTGGCCAAACCAACTCTTTCATTTTTATTTATTTTCTTTAGTATGTTTACTTATTTTTAAATTTGAATTTTTATGTTTAATAGTACTTCTAGTGTAGTTTCTAAATATATAAATTTTTGTATACTAATACTAAACTTAATATTATGAAAAATTGAATTAAAAATAACTTCAATCAAACATTGTTAACCGAACCAAACACATAAAATGAGACGGAAGGAGTATTTATATACATTTAGTTCATTTCATGTAAAAGAACATATAATTGCATGAGTATATTGTGTTATTTACATAACATTTAAATTACTTTTACAATTTATTATTGTTGTCGTTATTGTTATTAATAATTAATTTTAATTAGTATTTTTTTGTTTTATTATTAATAATGTTATTTTTATAAAGAAATATTATATAGTTAGTAATACTTCAATATTAAAAAAATAAATTCAAATAAAAATAGAATAACATAAGTTGTTAATACTAATACACCATATTATAAATAAATAAATAAATAAATAAATAAATAAATAAATAAATATATATATATATATATATATATATATATATATATATATATATATATATATATATATATATATGAGAACATGCTCCCACATAAAAAGTACATATTGATTTATTTATTTGGATAGAACGATTGAAAGTTGCTTTAAAATAAGAAAACATAAGGTTGAGGTCCAAGTGAGATTTGGTTAGAACATTCCAATTAGGGATACGTGCACTTTACGTGTCAATTGGGCAAATTAGGGTGGCGGCCAACTCATTTTGGATTTTTAGAGTAGGGGATCAATTGTTATACTATAAACCAGGATTCATATTGTATTGTGAGTCCCGATACAAAAATTATGTACCTTTAAAGTTAACACATTTTTTATCTACAGTTAACGGTTTCTGTAAATGTAAACAAATAACCTGATAATTGCTGACACATAATATGATAGCTACAGGTACAGAAACTATCAATTGTATGTACAGAATGTTGGAAAAATTCCCACTTCCTGTGACAATGAAAATCACAGATCCCGACACGGTCCACAAATACGAGATAACACAATAGCCCAAAATAAATAACAACGGAAGGGACACAAGATTTACGTGGAAAACCTCAAAATCACGGGAAAAACCACGGGACCACCACAACCAAATATTCCACTATAACAACTCTTGGGTACAAAGTTTATGGCTACCACACGAGCCAAACATCCAAAAATCATCAAAATACAACAACTCTAGGCCAAAGACTTCTATAATGTTTCACAACCTTAAAAGTATACAAACTCGTACTTAAAATATTCAACCATCACGAACAAGATGAAAAGAATATAAATACTACGAGATTATCCAAAAGATGTCTAGAACAAACAAGCTGACCTCCAAAAAGTATTGATGAATAAAGCACCCAAGAACCTCAACAAACCTCACGACAAATCCATCAAACGTGTGACAAAACCCGCCGAACACGTTGCCATCGTGCCGCTAAAAGTAGTTGAGAATGTCCTCACAAGACCGGCCAAGGAGACAAAAAGAAGCAAAAGAAACTTGGCTTTGTTTCACTGATATCTACTGTCTTGCACTAGTGCCGAATCAATATCATGTGTGTGTGTCTAGTGGTCATCTTGCATCCAAAATCCCTAAGCATTTTTATAGGGAATGAAATACATGAAAGGTCACGAGATGCCAAAAGTCTCTTTTGTTTCCAAACCCTTCATAATCCCTAATATTATATAATAATAATAATAATAATAATAATAATAATAATAATAATAATTAGAGCTCAATAAAACTATATAGTAAGTACAAAAATGCTTGGTCTAAACATGAACTATTTTCACATAGGAGGGAAGCCCAACCCAACACAGAATGTGTCAACTATAGATGTAGAATCTGAAGGTTACATAATATGATAGTTACAGGTAAGAAACTATCAAATGTAGGTACAGAATATATCAATTATAGATACAGAATCTAGAGGTTACATAATATGATAGTTACAAGTACAGAAACTATCAACTGCAGGTACAGAATGTGTTAACTATAGATACAGAACCTGAATGTTATTTTTGAACCAAAGTCTACAATACAAGATAGACCCTGGTTCATGGTATAATTTGTCGCAGGGATTAGTATATGAAGAGCTACAAATTGAGACAAATCATTCTCAGAAACCAATAACAGAAGAGGTGAAAAAAATGGCAAGAATGGAATTTCAAAGATACCTGGGAATTATGGTAACTAAAAAGTGAAAACAGATTAAAGGCCATGTTTGGTTATTGACGGATCAGCTATTTTTTGACGGTTTGACCATGTCAAATCGTCAAAAAAATCATTTGGTTAGCAGCGATTTGCTCCAAACCCTGCTTAGAAAATGCCCCTATATATATATATATATATATATATTAACTTAAACTAATGCATGAGGAGCCGAATTTCGGCTCCTCAATGGGCAACGAATTAGTGGAGCCTTGAGGCTCCTTCCCACTTTACCCACTGATGTAGGACGGTTGGAAAAGTGGGAATACAAGAGGGAGCAGCTTGCGCAGTTCCCTTCTTTTTTTTTTTTTTTTTGTTTTTTTTTTTAAAAAATTATTATTATTATTATTATTATTATTATTATTATTATTATTATTATTAATTATTATTATAATGTATATCCTTATAGGTCATTTTAAATGTTAACCGCTAATCTAAACAGTTAATTTTACCAAACGTTTTTTTATAAACCGCTAATACAATCTGCTGGTCAAAACCAGCTAATACAATCCGCTATCGGATAATCGCTAACACAACCCGCTACCGCTAACCGCTGATAACCAAACAAGCCCTTTGTCTTTTATCCATGGCCCACTACAGATGTAGAAGTGGTTTAAAATCTGATGTTTAAGCTGCCCATGTGCTCTCCAGACTCCAGAAGATTAAACCATACAAACAACTAGTTTTTGCAGGCAATTCCAAATATTGAAAACCAGAAAGCCTGCATCTCTCTCTACTCTTCCCATGATTGAAAGGCAGGCAATCAAAGAGCATAATCTGTCATGTCTACAATGGCCTTGCAGAGATCCAGTTTCTTGACACCTTCCAGCTATGGTGTTAGAACACACACCCACATTCTTCCTGCATCTTACACAATGTGAGTCTTTTCCAGCCATGTTTCTCCTTTTGCATGAATGAATATTCATATTCACTGTTGTTTAATTTGTTCTTTTTTGTGTTTAGAAGGATGATGAATTGTAGTTCCTCCCCGACGAGCAATCGAGAAGAATTGTTTAAACCACATCAACTGCAAACAGTTTCTCCATCACATCTGCAGCTTCCCTCTGAAAAGCTCATTCAGGACAAAAGATTAGAGTTTGGGCAATTCGTGGCCCAGAAATGGTGAAAGCCCCCGGTTTCTGCAACATTGACAGCAAAACATTGAGATATGGTATATAGCATTAGCCAAATCGCCCGTAGACAGGGCATTTGGATTGCCAAGGCCAGTGGTGAGGGATTT